GATAAAACTGATCACCAGTATACCTGGTGGGAATTTCTGAAAAAGCAGTACCTTAATAAAAAACCACTGTTTCATCAAAATATAAGTTTTTAAATGGAGAATGTTGTTTTGATATCAGGAGGAAATAACTGGGACATGACCAAATATTTTGTTGAGGTGTTTTGAAAAGAAATTGTTCTTGTTTGTAAAGAAATTACATCTGAAACTTTTTAAAAATCAGAACCAAACATTTTTCTTTTAATCTCTGTTCTGGACAATTTAGAAGAGTGTTTTCTGAAATAAAAAGGGATGGTGAATTTCACCAGTGTTGTGGCCTATCTTGGAATGGAAATAGTCCTGTTCTGGGAAGAATAAAATGCACTATCTCCCACTGAAGGAAGCAACTGACTTATCTAGTCCTGGTATCAAAAAGTGGCAGACAAATTAGATGTGCCCAACTGACAATTAGGTTCTCTTATCTTTTTATTTCAGTCAGTGGTGTTCCTGATGTGTCTTTTGCTGGTCTTATGAGAAAGAGTCATCTTGGGTGCAGTTTATAGACGAATGAATAGGTAGAAAACCCCTTTCTTGACCCTTGCATTGAAAAGTGTCCCAGTAAAGACTTTATTGTTATCCCTTCTTTCATGAGCAAATTCATTCACAATCTTAACACTTTTCCTAAGGTTGATCCAATGGAGAACTGGCTTATCTTTGTTTACTCGTAATTAAAGAGGGATAACTTTGAGATGGACATCTGTTGGTCAGCAGTTAAGCTGAAATCCTGTTCTGAGGTCTGTAATTGATGCACTTACATAAGGTTCTTGAGAACAGACGCTTTTGGTAATTGTTGGTACAAACAATAACCCCTTTCTGCTGCTTCTGTTACTGACTCTTTCTAAAAGCTTAATAACCAAGTGTCGTAGGATCCGTCAAGAGCCTTCATACTACTCGAATGGCATCATGTAGCATCATACAGGGAAGCAGTTTTGCTGTGTTTTCACATATCTTCATACTTGATTTTGTGTTGATTCTTACTTGTGGGAGTCAAACATAGGTACCCAGAGAGTGGGAGGAAGAGGGGAGAAGGGGAAAGGCTTTTGCAGCTCTGCCAGAGAAAGCTACAGCCTTTGTCTGGGCAAACAAAAGCAATCTAGACTAGTGGCGATATGAAAACACATTACTTGTAAAGATTACTTAAAGCCTATAGTGCCAAGTAACATATTTATCCTTTCATGAAGATAGAAATGAGTGGGGACTTCTGTGTTATTATTAATATTAGCAATCTTTGTTCAGCTGAGCATTTGTAGTTTTGTGTAGAGCTGGAAAATTTATTAGAAAATATTTTCCTTTTCGAGAAGTCTGTTCTTCAAGTCATGTCCCATTTACTTTGTTCTTGAAATGCTTGGGGTGCTGATCTTTCCTTTAAAAAAAGTCCTAATTTGGATAAATTGTTATATTATTTGGAAAAGGAGAACTACTCTCTATGTCTGACTGCGACTTGTACCTGGACACTTTGAATTTCTCCGCATTGAACACTAGATTACTGCCTGCTGGGACTCTTTTTTATCATCATCTCTCATTCTGAACTCTGTTCTTCTCCCAAAAATCTTCAGCTTCCTTTTTTTTTTATTGCAGGACAGATTTCTCTGATTTCCAAGTTTCATTAGTGCAAGAATTTGTATATTTTTAGCACCTAGTGCTGAATACAGACTATTTGTTACCATTTTTAGAATAATTTAAAGCTGCTGTTTTTACAAGTCTACAGCAAGGTTGAGGACACAGTATAATTAGGACTTTTGATAGCTTGTAATTCCAAATATTAAAGTTATTGCTTGAAGATTATATATTCACAAGAATATTGCACCTATTTTGGTAGCTGGATAAAGTGTTATCTTCTGTCATCCTTTTTTATTTTAGTTTTTATAAACTACTGGAAAAATAAAAATGAAGTGTGATGCTTCATGTCAAATAAATGGAAATGCTTAAGTTCATGTAGAGTACTTCACTGTACTTTTTTTGTAACAAAAGTGATTTGACATACTATTTATGATAATGAGGGGTTTATTGAAAGCAATTAATTAAATCATTTGTTCAGGCAGTTTCCACCATCTAAGCCTCCATCATTATACCACACACAAGAAAAAAAAAAAAAAGTAGCAAGACATCAGGCAAAAAATAATCTAGAAAAAATAGTGAGGAATATTCTAACATTCACAAATGCCAGGATATATATATAAATAATGTACTAAAACTTTTTTGTTTGTTCCTTTGATTATAATCACAGTAAATTGGCAATCCTATTTTATTTCAAGGACAAGGGTGTTTAGGCTTTTTTTGTAGCTGTCCTCTAGAACTGTTCAATGAAACCAAACACCTTTTACTTATTTCCCTAGATACTCTAATCCCTCCCTGCTTTACCAGTATCTTTGAGCTGTTCTTCCCTTTGTATCCACAGCAACATGAATCCCTGCTGGAATTATTTGCTTCTAAAATGCAGGTGCACTTGTTTAATGCTGCATTGGTTCAGGCTCTTAACTTGAAGACATTTTCACCAAACAGGAACCTCTGCTTTTACTCTACTTTATATTAGGCACAGTAGTATATATTAGAAGCATGTAAGATGTTCGCTCTCCTAACATGCATGACCTGTTTCTCAGAGCCTTTGTTGTTTTTTGATTATTAAGAGCTTTTAGGCAGCAGTAAGGAATCAAAAGCCATAACAAACAAACCATCCTTTTGTTAGTTTAGAAATAATAATGCCCTATAGAGGTAAGGGGTGGTAACATGGGCACCAGTCACTGGTTGAAATGCCTAAACCTGTTACCTCCCCGTGGCTGTGTATGCCAGTGCTGGACAGTGTCCATGTCTAAGCACCCACAGTTTGCCTGTGTTTAAGTGCCTGTATATATATTTAAAATGCTAAGGTGAGGCTTACCAGCTACAGTTCTGAAATCAAGCTTTTGTGGTACAGGATACTAGGGGTTTATACTTAATTGTTAATTTTCACAAGTGCCAGCCTGCGCTTGAACACCAAACACATTTTGATTCTTAGCTGAAGCAGATTTTTACCTCTCTGTTTGAAAATGTGATTGTTACTTGCATGAAGCCGTGCAGGGCACTGCCAGGCACCAGACTCTGCCTCCAACATAGCTTGCCTTTTGGGGAGCTGTAATCCAGTTCTCTTTGTGCCTTGGTTTTTCTCTGTAAAATGGGAATCAGAGATATGACTAATTTCATCACAGTATGCTAAGGAGATGCTAATCAACATTTTGATGCCTTCAAGATTAATGAATGGGAAACGTGAATTAATGTTTGGGGCATATGGGAGAGCCATGGGGGCGCTGAGGTAGAAGTAAATCATTAGTTAGTAAATCGTACTGAGTGAAAGGTCTGAATTGAAGCCTCACGCTCAGTGGGGAAGAACTGAGCCAACATTGTGAGACTGGAAATACTGGGTGACTGCGTATGGGCTAAACAGAGATAGAGCATCTGCGGAAGGAACTAGTATGTGACCAGATCAATAATGTGCATCATGGTGCAATCATGCAAAAGAGGGATATTAATGTTGCCTGGGACCTACTTTCTGCCATTTTCTATGATTGCTTCCAACATTTTCATCCTAAATATGTAATGCAAACTTAATGTCATTGTTGCACCTGGATTTTGGAGACCCGTTGGCAAGAGGCCATACGGCGTGTACAGAGGTGATTTCAGTGCTAAACTGAAAATAAACTTAATTACTATGAGGGCAGGCAGGATAGGAGAATGTCTAGGATGTTTATGTGCTGTTGTAGTGTTTTTCCTCATAATAACATGCAAACTAAATGCCAAGGAGTCATACTGTTTAGGTGTGCAGTTATTGTAACTGTTCATGTTTGCACCCCACAAGGAGTGCTCCATGAGTGCAGATGGTGTTCTCTACACTTTAAATTCAGCTTAATGTATTGGGCGAGCTCTCATTTACATGAAGACTACTTTGTATCTCTCAGTCAGCATAATGTGGTCCTAAATGAAGAGCAAATTCTATTTACAACCACCTCTGCAGAGTGACCTTAATTTAAATGAGAATCAGGCCCATAATCTGTATAAATATATGCACTCTGTTACATTAAGGTTATTTATTACATTGTACTCAGTCGGAGTACGCATGGAGATTTACCATAGATAATCCATAATCCAGAATTAAACTATTAATATGCATTTTGAAAGGGGCAGCCATAACCTTGAAATTCCTTGGTTTAAGTATGACCTTTAACTTTGTTTGAATATATTTTTTAAACGTGTGAATAACAAATTAACATTGGTTGATAAAAAACATTCTGATTCCTTTGTACCATTTGCAACAATCCATACTTAACTTACAGAAAGCCTTGAAGATTAGAAAGCTTAATCACTCATAATATTTATTTGTTTTTAAATGTCAGATCATATTTAGTTCAACATACTGTCAGTCTTGTTCCCCCCCACACACTCTGGTGTTCACAAGACGGCAGTGGAAAGTTCTTTTTGTGTCCGAAGACACATGCATCCTAGAAAAGTGACCGAATGCTTTGTACCTGACTTGTGTAAAGGAATTACTTTCTGTATCCTCCTGAATGTGGAATTAAAATCTATGCTACTCCTTCAATATGCCCTCCTAATTTCAGTAGACCAACTGCAAGAAGCAGACAAATTTCAAGTTGTCAAGAATTCTTTTTTCATTTCCTGCAGCTTACGGAAGGTGAGCTATGGGCAATGGAGGTATTTGAGCAAAGGCTTGGCTGTCTTATGATACCTTTTGTGGTCATGGAAGGGAAGTCCTGCCATAAGGTCTTAACAACAGAGACCAAAAATCTCTGTCAGGATTGAGACAGTATTGTGCTGGGTGCTATGCAGCTGGAAAGGCACAGTGAGGGACTGGGAAGCTAAGCTGTAAATACTGTAACCATACATTGAAATGCAGTCCTGTGATGCTTTTACCAAAAAGAGCCTCAGCAAACTTGTATTGGTTGAACTGTGGCATTTTGTTTTTCTTTCCACAGCCCTCATCTGAAGTTCAACAATCTGACCTTGATTTCAATTCATGGCCTTCCAGGAAAAGACCGACAAGGCTCCAAACATAGAAGATTTTTAATTAACAGGTTTGATTTAATATCTAAGCACTTCCATAGCTTCAAAGGGAAACATAACACATTGTAATTCTCTGTGAACTTGTCCTAAATTTTAGATAGATACACAGACAGCCTCAAAATAATCCAGTCTCTACAACATGCATTCACCTGTGAAATGAATTTAATATAATTATTACTAGGGAAATATTGCTAAAGCATTCCGGAACTTCAGCTGAGGAATGAACTTAGTATAATTTATTTAGATTTGTCATGGGACTCTTTGGAATCTGCACATCCTATATTCTCAAATCTTTTACTCAGCAAGCAGCAATGCACTAAAGAGCCAGCTCTTTAAACTCCAAAACAACACAATGTCTGCTTGCTGAAGCTTAGCAATGAAAGCTCTGCAAAGACATTAAAATGGTGTGATGTGTACCTGTTTAAAACTACCTTATCTCATTTGAAATTTTGCCCTGTCAAGGAATTTTTTAGTAAGTAGTTACCTGGATTAATTTTTTTAATTGTAGGAAGGGCATTGTTTACAAATCTAAATTAAGGGATTTTATGTTCACATAAATGCATGTACTCTTTTTCCTACTGTAAAAGAGTTGTAATAACAAAACATCCTTCCTGATTGAAAGTTGCAGTTCATAGCTGCCTCACCAGAATTAGCTGTTGAAATTTGAAAGCAGATTAGGAGTGAAAATTGAACTCGGCAGGATATGATTTTTGAAAGCATCCCTGTGATTTTGTAGTGTCAGTCTCCTGGGAACTGTGCACCTCAATTATATAGGTGCTTTTGAAAACCCTCATCTGTCCTTGATGTCCATTTTATTTATAGGTTTCTGCATGATTACAGCGCAGAATTGTCGGTGGTTTTCTTCTCTTGTTTATTTACCTCCAGTATTTGTGAGAACAGAGGATGCAGAGCACCTCAGAAAGCCTGGTCATTCAGTCCTAAAACTCTTCAGGTCATGAAAGAAATTTATTTGTTTCTGCAACATCCTGTATGACAATACTGGGAACTCAGTAACAACAATTAATGTGTAGCAATCAGCTCTGGTTTAGGATGTATATTGTGGCACTAATGGCAAAATAACAGCTGTTAGTGCTGAGTCTCCATCGTTCACTGCTGCAGTAACTGATATAATATAAAGACACCAAATGTGTGAACATGAGCTGAGTCCCCTTCTAGTTAATCACATTACATTTGTTCCTGTGGAAGAAAGTGGAGTATTTTTCATCACTCAGCATCAATAGAAAGTAAAGTTCTTGAGCTCCTGAGTGGCCATGAGCTTTATTTGGTAGATGGAATATTTCTTCTGCAGTCACTTCAGGTCACAGGCGGGATGAAGCCCAGGATTTCTTCATTGGTCATTCCCATCTTCTCTCATAGGCATGAAGTGCTAGCAGGGGTGAGACATGGCTTCCTTTCACAAAAATTGTGCAAATTCCATCTTCTTGCCCTGTGATTTTCATCTCATAAGCCAGGCATCTGGGTAACACCAGCTATTAATCTTTTTTGCTTTTTTAAAACCTGTTGCATGCTTTCCCACTAGGGTCTGCCAATTTGTCCCTCTACAAAGCTATAAATGGGTTTAGGATCAGCATTAATAAGTAATTCTACTGAAAGTACCTAATTTAACAGAGTTTTCCTGGTTTACATTTTCAGCATCAGGAAGGTATTGAGCTTTGCATTGGATTTACAGCATGGCCAGCAACATACTGTGTATTTTCAAAATGGGTTATTGCAAAACTCAGTGATGTTCAAGAGTCATAAATGACCTCATTGAAAATATTGTATCTCTGGTCCTGCATGCATTTTATAATGATTTGTCTATTGTACATCTGTATTGGAGTATTTTATCTTCAGGAATCTTTCCTTCCAGAAGGCTATTAAACAGAGAGTGTAGTGCAAATGCAATAATAAATAACTATCCTGGTATTTAGTTGGGCAGGGTGGTGGCATACTCTGAATCATAAAAGACCTTTAAAAATAATTTTAATTTTCATCACTGAAATGAATTGAGGCATACTGAAATAATTGAGACAGTGGAAGAGGTTTTGTTCCATTCAAATTTTGCTTCAAAATTAGCTTTTTTAATAGCAACTTCTAGATCTTTGCTACTTCCATCATACACAGTGATATATATGATACTTTACACTGAAAACAGGCTTTAACACCACTGAAAGACAAGAGCAGCAAAAGTAAACCTTGCCTGAGATTTTTAAAGCCAACGTGTGATTTTAGGTTCCTTTTTTTTTTGGTACTGATATTGAATTAACACTGCCAGAGTGTGGTGCTCAGATGCACCTTGAAAATCAGATTTCTATTGAGGTATCTTATTTGGACAACACTGGAGCTGTAAGATGTTCAGGGACAAAAAGCCCTGAAAACCATAACCATGATACAGAAAAAAGTTCTGCTTCTTAAAACAGACAAACCTTTGTATGGTTTGTTACTTAGCACTGAAAGTAATTGCTTTGAAGTTATAGAAGTTGCTTTCCCATTTTCATTGAGAATAAATTGTTGTTCAGTTACAAATTAGTGAAGATTAGTGTCTTTCACATCTGCACTCTCATTCACCTGCTACTTTTATTCTCTTTTGCATAGCCTATGTTATAGTTTCTCCTTTATTCCTGTTAATATTCAGTTGCATCTTAGAGACTTTGGAAAGTTTGGGAGGAGGGGGGCAGTTTAGTACATTTTCAGAATTATTCATTCTTGCATTTTGGGAACATTCATTTGGACAGGGGTTGCCAAGAGAAAATTTGAGAACACTGCCTTTTATTTCTACCACTGACGACTATTTTCCTAGCTTTATTTTTAAACTTTTCATGCTACTACTTTGGAACATGGACATTAAAATGCCTGCAGTGCCTTAATCACATTTATGTCTCACCATAGCCAGTACTGGTGAAGTTGGATACCAAATGCAGCAAAAGTGAAAAAAAAAAACTTAACAAGGGAGTCTTGAATAGAAGAAAGAATTAGACTGTTAAAATATTTTCTTTGCAGGTGCAAAAGTCTCCTCCTCATATCAGCCTGCAAAGGAAAAACAGAGTAAAGCCTATATTTCTGATTTTGTTTTTAAATTATGTGGTTGTATGGCCCAATGCTGGGAGGGATTGTTTGGTTTTAGCAGAAAGTTGTCAATTTGTAACTGAGTATTTCATAATGACTAATCTTGTACTATAGACTGCCGAAAGCTCACAGCAAGAGAACAGACTGGAACCACTAGGGGACTTGAGCTAACTCACCAGATGTCTAATTAATGCCTGCTGTCAGCTGCTGAAATGTCACTTACAGATATTCTTTCTTCACAGCCACTGTTTTAATGATGAAGATTATGCACAGATGTCACTTTGTTCCTGGGTTAACGTTGTGGTTGGTAAAATGACTGGCATAAATCGCACTGCCAAATATGTAGTTGTTTCCAAAGAGAAAAAAGTACCATATGACTACCTTGTTCTCTGCATGGGACTGAAATACCAGGTAAGATTCTGTGCAGAGTGAAATACATAACAATATATTCAGTTTTTACAGTGCATAGTGTTTCTGTAATTAGCAAAGCAGCAGAGTAGTCCTAAGCGAGTGCACAACCAGAAGTTAGCAGCCCTTCCATGTGGCAGGTTGTGCTATTTCAGTATGATTATAGAGCCTGGAGGAGATGAGAGGTTTTACAAAATTCTTTATGAGCAGCATCACTGCTTAGTATCAGGTATTAAAGCTGCCAGTATTTTTGCTACCATGACCATTAAACTTGCTAAAGAATAGGCCTGGTTGACATGTGGCCCCAGCCACAGGAGACTGAACTCCAGCTGGCTTAACACCATTTGACCTAGTTTTGGCAATGGAGAGAATTCCTTATCAAATTAATTACTCATCTCACATGATGACCATGCCTAGGCATGTACGTGGTGCTCTTTGTTATTGTAGCACCCAGTTGATTTTCCACTGACATTGGAGCAGACAGTTACATGTGAAATGTGGAATCAAACTCATCTCCAGCCCTACAGGCTCAGCTGCAGCTCAGACATCCCAGGCAGGGTTCCTACTTTCTGGTGTATCATCACATGGCTTTCAAGCTATGTAAACTGCACAGGCATCTGCTGGACAGCCCCCTTGCCTGCAGTGGTTTTGCCTTGTTGATTGGTTTTGGATAGGAATCACGATTAAGATATTTTGCCTTTAAAATCAGGAGATCAAACTCAGTGTGTGTGTACAGGTTTTTACAGTGTTGTTCCACATAAGTCACAAGCACAAACATGACTTATGTTCAGTCCCATAGTGAAATCTGGACTGCATACATGCAACAGATTTGAGGACCAAAAAAGCCCCAGTTTTTCTGTTACCACTTTTGAGAGAAGAGTCACCCTTTAAACAACAATCCTTATCCACTGTTCAACAGGAATGAAACAAAAGTTGAAGTCTGAGTGACTTAAGTGCTGCTAGAATAAGAAATTTGGAGATAACTCTGACTTGTAAAAAAGTAGCAACTGCAAGAGAAAACTCAGGTTTTATTTCCCCTCAAGAATAAAATCTAATGTAATCTCTTCTCATTTTTAAGGTCTACAAAAAATAGGAAGGAATTATTTTTATCATCTGGTTTCTCTTTTATTACACAGAGCTGTAGTCCATACTTTTTATAAGTTGTCCCTTACTTGGTAAGCAGCCAAATTAATGCCTACTAAAACATTATTTGTTATGATTAAGAGGATTTACTTGTTGAGTAAATAAGATCTTTTGATGTCATGCCTGTTTTTGAATGACTAAAGATTATTTGAGTTGATCCCATTGGTAGTGAGCGTATCGTTTAGGACATTAACCACTGGTGCTGTAGAAGTCATAGATGAGATTTCTGTATCATTCTGACTAAATTTGCAACTATAAAGCAGCATTATACAATTAAGACTTTACTGAATTCTGGAATTTTAGCCACTAAGCAGGTTTTGGTCCCTTACTTTGGGACAAAATCTCTTGTATTTTAGAAGGCTGATTTTTGCTGAGAAAAGATGGGCAGGCAGTCTTGCTGCACAAAGAATTGTCAAGTGTCATTTAAAGGAGTATGTTATTCAAATAACTGCAGAGATCCTTCAACCATAAATTCATGGATTGCTGCTGTTTGCTGTGAAGCCCCTCTCATGTGCATTTTGCCTGTATGGGTATTCGCTTGCTCTGGCACTACTGTTTAAATGGTCACCCATACACCACAGCCACCACAGTCTGTGTTCATACTAGCAAAAGTCCATCTTCTCTATGGCCACTGGTGCATTTGCTACTGCTGAATGTTAAGAAGGGTCAGGATGTACGAGGACAGCAAGCCTTAGGTAGTCAAATGGCTTGTGTCATTGTTTTTTTAAATCTTTCTTAACACATCTCCAAGATGTATATGCCATATATTCATTCACTTCTGTATTCACTTCTTCCAGGTCCTGGCTCCCACAGGAGCAGATATCAGTACACTCCCAACTAACAGAGAAGTCATGAGTAAGTGGCCACAGAGATACACAGGGAAAGTCCCTTCCAATCATTTTACTCTCAATGATGATCAGGACTGCTTAAGGGCAATGTGCTGGCTGAAGGAAAACGTCGTCAACTCAGAAGGTAAGGGCTTTTCTTAACACCCGCACACTTACAGAAATGTTTCTAGGCTTATTGTTTCCTTAATTCCATGGTGTAATTGCTGCCTGATTAATTCTAACAAAGTCTTTCATCTGCTGTGCTTTGTTTTCCAGATAAATTTACAATTTGTTGTCATTTTTGATACCCAGCATATTTAGCTAGGAAATAAAAGCTTCAGATAGATTTAATTACCTGTAATTATGATATAGAACAAAATGAGTCCCAAATGCAAATCTGGCTGGAGTCATTAATTAACCAATTCAATAATAATTTAATTAGTAGATGTGTTTTTCTGCTGTATAGAAAAATATCTAGATTTGAGGCCTAACACAAAGAAAACAGGTCTAAATTAGGAAGTGGGTTTTTTTCAGTATCTGTCACTTTTGTATTTGGTTACAGATTTTCTCATAGAACTGAAGGCTCCCAGAGTTTCCTTAAAATGCACACATTAAAATCACACATTTGTGCAGGTTTTTGTCCACCATAACTATAGCTCCTCAGCTTTTTCATGTGTGCTTTGCTTATATTTTCATGAGTTCATTCACCGAACACATATTCTGTTGAAAATATCTGGAATCATCCAGGCTTCTGTGTGAAACCTTCAACTGCAGAATGGGAGACCAAACAGTAGATGAATTCATGTCACATCAATTCTGTGTGCTGGATCTGAGTTAGGCCAGAATTCAGAGCAGGAAAGCTGTTTTTTGTGGAAAGGCTGTCAACTGAGTGCAACAACAGGAGTTTCCTAAAGATACAGTTTACCTGGCTCATTCATAGACAGCATAATGAAAATTGGTAGTTATTTTGTGTGGTCTACAAGGTTCATGTTCTGCTTGGCAGACCTTTGGGGAAGTTCTCAAGACACTGGAAATTTCTTTAGCATCCTCCAAGTCTTGATGTGATCAGGACAGGAAGACAATAAATATGATCATGCTTCTTTTCACATTTCCCCCAGAGAGCATCCAGGCCTCAGGCATTTGAGTGGATACTCCTCAGCAGTCCCGCTTGCCTGTTCTTCCTCTAGTACCAGCCCCTGCCCACACAGTCCTACCTTTATCATTAGGAATGCTAAATGAAAATTATATTAACCAGCATTTCATTATTGCTGCTGACTTTTGTTGCATTGTAAGGATGGATATCCTAATTAGGCACTATCCCTGCCTTTGATTCTAAGCTACATCCACAACTCTCAGTGAGGGTGGTTGGGAGGGACCTTTTGCAGATGTGGTCCATGGGAGCACGATGCCTCCCACTTTCTCCCCACCTTGCTTCTGGCTTCAGTTCTCTTTCACTGCTCTTTCCACTTCATGTACTCTGCCCCTGCAGATGTCAGCTATAAAGAGTGCCCAGCTGGAGAAGTCCTTCACGTCTCTCTGTTCTTCTTCCCCGGTTTGTTTTCCAGCTGTATTTCTTATGAATGTTGTTCTTTCAGACTTGATCATAGCTGCATCCCAGATCCCTACTCATTCTGAAAATGAGTCAATTTTTCAGCCCCTAGCCTAGTCTGGAGACAGCCTAGTAGGCGAGGTGCAGAGGCAGGGCTCCTGTGGAGTTCAGCAATTGATTATTTGGATGTCTGTCAGCTCTCTGCAGGCCATGGTACTGCTCTGCTGGGATGACTACAGTTTTACATTTGCGTTTAGTTTTCATCTCTAAAATTCTCCAGATCCTCGTTTTGCCTTTCTCAGTAAAAAGTAATACTCCACCTCATATATTTCATATCATCAAAATATTGACAAACTCATACTGACCTGTTTTAAAACATTTAAAAATATGACTTGCTTATGTTTAAAGAAAATGAAGAGGCTAACAAAACTGTGTCTGTCGGTTGTTGTAGCTGCACAGAAACACACATTCATCCTCCCACTTCTGATATAACAGTAATTCTTCTCCACCTATACTCAGCCTTTTCTCCATGCAGCTTTCTTCTATTTGTGCTCCTCTTTTACTCAGCCATTTGCTGTCTTGGTCACAAGTAGCCTGGAGCCTGCTATGCCCCGTTCCTCTGCGAACAGGGCACCAGGCTCTGCCGCTGAGTGAGCCCTCAGGTCCCACATAGGCAGCCAGGGGCTGGGGCAGAGAGCAGCCCCCACGGGTCCCGACCCAGCCAGGTGAGTGCATGCAGCTGCCTTGAGGGGGGAGAAAAACACCTGCAGGACCACCTTTAGTTCTGGAGGTTTTTTGAAGGAAGCTTTAATCACCGAGCTTCCGCAATCCCAGTCTTACTAGCTTAATTGTATGAAGTCTTCATTTGGCACTGATTTTGAGAGCAGCTTTGATTTAAGAGTTAAGGTAGGGCTTTTAATTGTTGGGTTTATTTCCTCTCTGAGCACTGGGTACCACTTAATTCTGGATTAAATCAGTGGATGCCGCTTTGCAGGTTGTGAGTACATCAGGATCAGCCTGGTAGCAGGTGCTGGGGCCGGCACAGCGTGGGTGCCATGGAGGCAGCAGCAGTACCGGGCAGCGGCCGCGCCTCCGAGGGTGTGCGGGCTGCAGCCTTCCTCGCCGGTCTCCTCCTCGCAAGGAGAGAGAAGCTGACCGGCACTGCACGGCGGGTGTTGCTCGGGGAGCCCTGGGAGAAGCAGTGAGGGCACGTCCGTGGGTTTTTTGGCTGCGGGGGGAGACCCCCAGCCCCGACGGCTGCTGCTGCGGCTGCTCTGATGGAACCCAGCCGCCTAATGCATGTAACCTATTATAACTGTAATTGTGACTAATTGAAATTCATCTCCTATTAGCTCTGCACTTTCCATGAAAATAAAAAGTGGGATGGAAGTAAAGTAAGGAACAAAACTGCTTTAATGGCCCAAAATGGTGCAATTATTTTTTCTCTTTACCTAAACATAGTTTACTGCCTTATTAAAAGCATGTTTGTAGGAATACTATCGCATTAAAATTCCAGTGCATGAATCACCAACAGGAGCCACCTGCTTTAGCTAATACTGGTTTTCTCTGTTAGCTTTTGCAAACTAAAAAGATTCAGGTCATGCTAGGGTCACTGAAATCTTGTGCTTCCACTTGTGGAAAATGAATCAGCCTGCTCTGCAGCCGAACGCTGGCATTCTAGTAATAAATGATAAAACTGCTCTAACGATCTTTATTTATAGCTGCTTTTTTCCGTGGAAGATTATTATGTTTACTTACAGATAGATACATTTTCATGTAGTTAAATAATAAAAGCATCCTGAGGAACTGCTATCTGTCCAGTGAACATAATTTCAGTCCATAATGAATATCTGTAGTTCCTAGACTACTAGCACTGTAATCTAAAAAGCCAGTAATACTGTAATAAGCAGAAACCATAAATTGTTGATTTACAAGAGGTCAGTAAAGGAGCATTGCTTCCCTTCATCTAATGCAGTTGTATTTAATATTACCATATAAAACAGAATTTTAATTTTCCTTGAGAAATGCAGAGGTTGAATCTGATCTCGTATATACAGAAATGCCACCATGTAATGCAATAAATTAACTTCCCTCCAAAGAGGCTAGTTCTGCCCAATGCTGAGTATCTCTCAGTTGCCCAGACTTGTTTGCCTTGGAGTCAAAAAAAACTTTGCTAGGCTGCACCTTTAGAAATCAATTCTTCATACCCCTTTCCCAGCCTCCTTCCCTGCATCCTCTTCAGCTGTTTGTTTTTCTCCCCTTGCTAACTGAAAATGTGTAAATGTAATGTGAAGCTGTTGGCAACCACACATCACAATCTTACCTGCAGTGTTAGCACGTTAGGTTACTAAAAATGAATATATCGGAAGGTGTATTTCACAGTACAAACTGCTTGTTTATTTCTTGCACTACACCCTGCTGCAGTGGTGAAAAGGACTGCCTGCAGATATGCATCCTGGCAGGCAGAGCAACAGAAAGGGTTCTTCTGCCTTGGAAAGTCAGCTTAGCAATGTACACATTGGGTGGAGTTCCCACTATCAGACATCATACATATGCTGTGCTATGTTTATGAAAGTAGTAAGATCTCTCATTTCAGTTGGATACATTTGCAGGTAAAATTGTTCTGTCCCTCTGGTCATCGATGTGAATAGTAAAAATATGCTTTCCATCATTTCTGAGCATGTATATTCATGGACCAATCTTCTTCTCTGGCAGTTATGAAGAGATATGGGGTTTTTGGCGGCTACAAGTAGATAAACTGATACGGACAAATAAAATAACCTTCTGTTCAAAGGGGAATTGATAGAACATCTCTTAACAATTTCTACCATTAATATTCTTGGGAGCTAGGGCTTTGTGAATGCTCTCTTTAGTATTTCTCTGTGTCTCATGAAGTAAAACATGGTCCCAGTGAAATTAGTTTAGCCTATGAAATAATAAAATTTAGGTTGAAGGGGATGGTATCACTTGTAGTGAGACATAAATGCCAAATCTGAGATAAACGTGCAAGTTAGTTGCATGAGGCACTCTCTTACCTGTGCATCCCTGCTTCCTGCAGTGCTGTGGAGGAAAACAAATGCTGCTAAAAGTCAAGATCAAGCCAGTTGTGTAGGAAAGGCAGCTTGAGCTGCAGGGGCAGCTGGGTAGCACAGAAGCAAGGCTGGTGGTGTCTGCACATTACTGCTGCATGCCCAAGGGAGCCTGGGGTAGCCTGGGCTCGACCCTCCTTCACTTGGCAGGAGCTTGGCTGTGGCCCTCATAGCAGAGGGTCCTTATCCACTGGGAAAGGAGTTCCCAGTCTGTCCTATGAGGGCTGTGCCATTTTGCATGGAATACTTGATAGCTTACTGGATCACGGAGCAGAAAAAAGGTTCCTATTCTGAACGGGGAGGAGTAGCAGGTTTCAGTCCCTGCTCAGAGGAATGTTTATATGTTTTATATTAAACCATCCTTAGATAAAACACACAGATGCTCCTATGCATCCGAGCTCTCTCTCCCTCTCTGCCAGGAGGGCTTTAGCATTAGGCTGGAGGGTCACATCATGCTCACACAGCACATGCTTCCCTTCCACCCTCATGCAGTTGCTCTCAGCTTTAACTACAGAGTTTAAAGTGGCACTGCTTCAGTGGGAGAATCTGCAAGATCCTACCATGGAACTTTATAGCTGAGGGCACTGCCCTGGAAGGTGGGAGAGGTGGGTTTGCATGAGAATTCAACCAGAAAGATGAACCTGGTTTAAGCCATGGCTTCAGCTCTAGTGACAATACACTGCAAAAGGAGCAGCAATGTCCAAGGGCTGTTTTCATGCCCACCAATCAGCAGTGTCTGTCTCCAGCTGGCCGAGTGCCGGGCAGTGTTCAGAGATGGAGGCTGGCTGGTTTGGGGCACATCTTGAGGTGTTCAGGCTTTGGGACAGGGGCTGGGGGACATGGCTGCCTTGCAGGAGCAGCACAGAGCTGCCAGCACTCCCCAGCCCCCTCTGCCACTCAGCCCACACAAGAGCACATCTGCAGGGGCCTCTCTGTTGTCCAGAGATCAGGCTTTGGAGGATGGAAGCACTGGTGACCTCCCATATTGCACAATGGCTTGTTTTCTAGAATTTGGTCTTTCCAGTTTGTGGGGTTTTTTTCTGTATGATATATTAAATTTGCTCCTCTCTCCCTCCTCGCCCTCACCTCCAGTAAGTCTTTTGAATGAACAAAATTCAGGAGGGAGGGGAGAACAAAATAAAAATGTCTTATTTTTTTTTTCCCCTAGAGGATTTTCAATCAAAATAATTTCAAATTATGGGGTCAGAATGAATGTCATACTTCTGTGTTAAGTACTTACCTACTTTGTGGGATGTTTTGTACAGATTCTTCACTAAATTATCTTAGCTACTGTTGCTAGGTAACATTGTTTGCTTCATAGCATCAGAGAAATAAGAGGGTCAAAGAGAGCAATTTTGTGTTATTATAATCTGAGTTATACTAATAAGGTTTTCATTGTGCATCTTAAAAATTTGTCCCCCTTTTTTTCTCCTCTTAGGGAACGTCATTGTTTATGGGAATACAATTGACATTTACACCACGGTAGAGACCCTCTTATCTCTTGGAATTGATGGTTCTCGCATACATCTGGTACAGCCTCCACTCAGCTCCAATGTTACTTGCCTTAACAACAACGATATCGAAAGTGCTGTTCAGGAGGCTCTGTCAGAGGCTGGCGTGTCTGTTTATTGTGACAGCATCCTGGCACAGTGGAACCGAAGCGACGACCCAGACCTCATCACGTGTGCTGCTTTCACTACTAATACAAAACCCTTTAAATTGCAGTGTTCAGTAAGTATATGCTTCCATTGTATCTCGTTCAGTCTGTTTTTAAGACAAAGACCATCAAATTCAGATAGTCCCTCATTGGTTTGACTGTTTTCTTACTGTCTCCAGGAGATTGAACATTTACTTGTTAGTCTAAAGGATTGTTTTTAAAAAATCCAAATAAAACCATTGTTAATGCTCTGACTGAATTGGATTAAAATGTATTTAAGTCACCTGACTCATAAATACTTGTTCACTGCTCACAGCTGAGTGACAAATACTCTTTAATTCATTTTCTGAATAATTCCAGAAATCCTTTTATTATTTAAATGCATAAGCAACTCATGTCTATAGTTATGTGCATTTGATTATGTCGTAGTAGAAGCCAATAATGTTAGAACTGAGAGGCCTAATATGTAATTTAGTTAAAATACATTTTAAACAGATTTTTCTCTATATATATTAATGATTGCATTTTTGTTCACCTATAGTGTCAATATCCAATACTGACAGGTGTGGCCCCACTGAGAAATTTGTAACAGGTTTTAGCTTTTACTAATGGGCAGAATAGTTCTGTTTTTCTTTGTTGGTCTTATCCATGTAAGTGAGTGCTTCTGACAGAGTCACTTCAACACGTGTCCATGTTGACACTTGGACACTTTAACACAGCCCTCCAGCATGCCCCACTGCGGGCATGCTTCCTTGTGCAGCAAGTCTGTTGGGATTCTGGGAGGGAAGAGTCGTGTGCCTTCCCGGAGAGCTGCCCAGGAGCTGCTGGTCCCTGCTGGCCCTGGAGAGTTCTAAGGCATTGAGTGTTCCCAACCCTTTTCTTTTTAACATCTGGATAGTTAAACCCTTCCTGATGCAGGCAAAGACCTTGCATAGCACTTTTATCCACTAGCAGTCTCCTGACTGGTTCCCGTATCAGTGGTGATGTTCCTCCCACTCTGTCCTCATACAAGGCTCTTCACTTTCTCTCCTCTTTCCTGGAAATCCCTCAGTTTTTATCCTTCTTCCACCCATGTGGTGCTTGTTCTTGCAACTTAATATCTATTTATTCACTCTCTCTCGCCATCCACCCACCCTCTTTTCCCCACCACCTGGCTTGTGTGGCCTGCACTGTTCCTCCAGATCCCCAGGTCCTCGCAGTTGGTTTCTTTTGTCCTTTTGTGCCCCGTGCCTGTCCTTCCTCCAGCTATAGTTCTTCCCTCTTGATGTCTCTCTCCCCCAGCCTCTAAGATAAGATATATGCAATTACTGGTTGTGTCAGGGGCTTTATATTTTCCAAAACTGGTTCAGCTGTCTTGCATGGCTCCTGTGTCTGCTTTTAGCTGCCTGAGAGGACGGGCTCAGAGGACAGAGCTCCAGAGAGCAGCCTCCGCCAGGAAGGCAGCTGCCTCCATGAGGGAGCAGGCTGTGCAGGAATCAGCCCTGCAGCAGCTCTGGGCCTTTTGGGATTTGAGCCAATATCAACTGTTGATTGGCAGTTCTTGGGGGCTTAATTTGTTGAGTCCTGCAGGATAAAAACAACGGGAGAAAATCTCTTTTCCTAAAGCAGCAGCTTCCCTCCCTCCCCTCCTGGGCTGACAGATGGCTCCCAGCCTGGAGGTTGCAGCCATCCCCCCCCTCCAGTGACACTGTCCTGCCTGTCAGCCCAAGATGTGGGGCTGTGTGGTTCCCTTGCTTCACAGGCAGAGCTGCTCTGATGTTGGATCTACTAGATGGCTAGAATTCCCTTAACTGTATGTAGTTCATTACTTGTTTTGTATACAAACAAGACCAGAGGCTCTGGCCCCTCTGCTGCAGCATCTCTGCTGCTCCAGTGTTGCTAAAATTTGCAGCTCCCTTTGCTTCCTGTGCCCTTTCTTCCATCTAGCTCATCCAGCCTATTTGAGCATCTAACATGCTATAGTTATAATAACCTATAGTTATAATAACCTATAGGTATAATAACCTACACATATTTACATCTCTTTTTTTAGGCATTTTTTAGCTTTGCCTACAGGACAGTGGATTATGAAACCTTTAAGGCAATTAATGATGCTTGCCTTGTTTTTGATGGAAGACTAGTGATTGACACCGAGTTCCACACTAATGATGTCAGTATCAGGGCTGCAGGTCCTTTAACAAAGTACTCCAGGAGATATTACGTAGAGGAATGGACACACAGCAACTTCAATTCAAGAGAGATTGGCTTTGAGCTTGCCACATCCATGTTGCATCTCTTTGACCCAAACCATAAGCTTGTTTCTGAGCCACCAGAAGGCTCAGATAGACTCATCCCCATGTACAAGGGCTGTCAAATTAAAGGTATGTCAAAATGGATTTCTGTCATCCTTTCATATCCTCTTCAGTATTTTTGCTGCTATGTAAGAAGGGCAGGTCTGTCTCACCAAATATGCCAGTGGAGTCCTCAGAGCTCCTGATAGAGCCAGTGGAGAGTGGTGAGTTGCAGTAAAAGCTTATGCTGTAGATTTTTGCTGGTAATGGACCAAGTCATGCTTTCATTTATACTGCAGTGCATGTGGAGTGTTTCCATTGAGATTGGATGTCTTTATTCCAAATTCAAGATCTGTAAAACTATCATCAGAACTTTTCAATGTGTAGCTACTGCAAAAATATGTCCAAGAAAAAAAGTTTATAACATGAAGTCCACCAAAACAAAATTAGTTCTTGTTTTCTTGTTAAAACCACTTAAAACAAACAAAAGTTTATAGGAGAAGGAGGACAAACTTCATTTTCTTCTTTGTTAATTAAATCCCATATTTTCATTTACGGCAGGAGGTGTTCTTCCTAGAGGTTATAATTACTTGCATCTTTCCAAACCAGAAATCCCCATCCGCTTGGACTTACAACTTGCACTGTGTGATCATGTAAGTTTAATTATTTAACTTTTCTTTGCTTGGTCCTTCATTTGGAAGGATGTTATTTAGGATACATACAGGTACATGTGTAAGTACCATGCATCTTAAAAAATATCTTGTGTTTAAGTATGAATTTAGAGACCTTCTGAAGCTGGGACTTATCAGTAAACTCTGACTGGAACAAACCACATAAAACCAAATCTCTGTAATTATTTGAAAATGTTTCATTTATTTTAATGTAAATTCATTGTCATATTGCAAGTGTGGAATACATACAGGTAAGATTATCTGATTAACTTCTATACTGCAGTTCTTGATTGCTTTGCCATGAAATCAATCCAAACCCAAGGGGTCTTTGGTCCTTGAAAGCAGAACATGCTTGTCAAGCCCTAATACCCTGAATTATCCACTACTGTTTGTAGCACTTCGGGTTCCAGTAGTTCCCTAATGGGACATTACAGCTCCAGCCTTTGACCCTTTTTTCCCAGAGTTGGTGGCTCAGGACTGTACCTGGTTGCTGAGCCATTTGTCTTAGCGCAGTCTGGGAGGTGATCATGTTGGCTTTTCCTCAGTACTCTCTTTTTCAGGTTGGCTTTGTTTTGCCTTGATTCTGTAGAGGCAGACAAGTCATTTTCTCAGTCGTATGGAATAAGGTCCTTTTGAAATTCCTAGCACATATTTCTTACACAGCACATCAAGGTAGTGGTGGTATTTGCCATCAGATTTGCACAAGAACAAATTCAGAGTCAGCTAAGCCTGGGTGCAGCATATAAATCGGGTACAGCTGGTGAACAAGTATCAGTTCTATCACTAACTGAATCTCGTAGATGTTCATTTCCATACTTTCCAATATTTGGCTTTCTCAAGGTGAGAACCCTTGCGAAAGGTTTTAGACATGTATAAAACTGGAACAGGAATACAGTTTTAAAAAAATAGCTTCAAGCTATTTGATCATCCCATTGAATGTGAATTTTGAAACAGCTTTTTACATTTTTGTCTTTTACCAAGTGCTTGTTTTAACTAGCTGAAACTAAATGCTACAGTTTGAGCATCAACATCCAATGTAATTATTGTTTTATTGATAGAGTTGGTGTTAGCAACACTTGGCAGCCCCTGTTCAAATTAGCAAGAGTGAGTCAATGACAACAACAATTCTAAATCATATATATATGTGTGTATGTGTTTGTGTGTATATGCTCACACACCTATGCATATATATTTAATGTAAGTATGTGCATATATATATTTAAGGGCAATAGTAATTAATCATTTGGAAGTCTGGAATATATTCTGAAGGAAATTTCCTAAGAGATCAAGGCTATCCTGCTGCAGTTGCAGGCAGCCCTCTATTATAGTGCCATTTATACAATTTCAAAGATTTTTTTGGAACTGAACCAGGTCCTTCTTGGTATTTCTTCCCTTCTTGGAAGGCTGTTCCAACACATCACATCTATGACTACTGGAAAACTTATATACAGAGCCAATAACGCTTAATTGGAACATGATTAATTGGTACATCTTTGAGTTGTAACATTGAAGTTTGCTTGTAACTGATTAATGTGGTAATATCAACCCTCTGCCTGCAATCATATTGCTTCTACCATGTGCCATAAACACCAGTGTGTCCTTCACTCATCAGGACAGTATCCTATAGTAAATTATGATGTGCCTTCTGTGTGCAATAATATGAACTCTGTATACCAAACTAGAATGAATAGAGTTCAATTCAGTTGCCTAGACAGAGGCATCTAGTGTTGTTTGGGATGCCCCAGGGCATCCCTCCTGACCTCCAGCTGCTGCTCCAGGAGGTCACAGGTCCCATGGAACCTCTGTCTAACTGCCAGCACAGTTTGGATGGCCCAGATCCCTTTAGGTGTCTCCAGTGGCACTCAGGATTGGGCAATCAAAGCCCATGCAGCACATGCAGTCCTTTTGTTAATCAAGGTCTAAATCACACAGATAATCTTTGAATCCAAGCTGCAGCAAAGTGCCTTGTTCTATAAACCGTGTTACCAGGAATCAAGAAATTAAAAAAAAAAAAAAGTATTGTGGATTTTAAGGAATGGCCAGTATCAGCTACGAGACCCTGTCTGATCCTGTGTGCATGCCAAGCGAGGTGTTCGTTCCATCTCCACAGCTTTCCTTATATTTTCTGTTCCAGGGAATGGAGTTTATAACTGGAGAGGCAAGACATGGGAATTATTTCAGGATGCACATCAACAAATATAATATGGTAGATAGCATCACCTGCTTTTCAGTGGAACCCTTTCCTGTCTCCAACTACATTTGCTTGTATGGACAGCATGAGCGTCTCCTTAATGATTTTTGTTACCGCTGGAATGAGGGGCAGATCACAGATCTCTACAGGTAAGATAAACTCAACATTCTGTATAAAACCTGCTTTCTGGCCCAATTTTAGTTTTATTTTATTGTGGTTTATCTTTTGGTTGTTTTCCCTTAAAACAAAAGATTTCTTTTAAAAAACATTTGCCATGATATGGTAAAATTGTCAGTGGTAATGCAAGCCCTTCCTGGAAAGAGCTGTGTGTCTGAGGAGCAGTGGTTTACTTGACCATCTTTCATCTGAGAGAACTTTTTTGTGACTTTATAACTTTTTCTTATAAGATTCAGAAGGCTTAACTCATTAAGCTGAACCTGAACAGTCCTTTTTCACTGAAGATTCTGAATCAGAACTTATTTCAAAACTCGGTATTTTTGTCACTCATAATCAAATTTTTAAGCCAAAAGTTTCTAGGGAGATTTTAAATCACTCCCAATGATAGCCATACTCAACATCTTGCCTGCTTATCTGGTGTTAAAAAAAAAACAAAAAACCTAAAGTTTATCCTCTAGGCTGTGTTCTCTGTGTAAGGGAGTTACTTCAACTTAAGTTCATCGCTGGAAGCTGTGTCAGGACTCTGCATATTTAGTGGAGGTTCCCCGTCCAAATGGCAGGACTTCCACCACAGCACTTTGCAGCAGTGAAACTGGTCTTGCAGATTTCTGGGCTTCTCCCCTCTGCCTGCTGTGCCCAAGCAAGCACAGGGCAATCGTGGGGACTCAGTGTTCCAAGGCAAGGACTGAGGTTCTCTCAGGTGGTGGCAGTGACTGAAGAGCCTGGCTATTTCTAGGCAGCATTTATGTGCTATCTCCTCTGAGAGAATTTTTCATTGCTTTTAGAAATGCAACCTTAATTAAGTTATTATAGAGAGAGGAGCACCTGAAAAAAATGCAATCTACCATATCTTCAATCTTCTGCTACTTCTCCAGAATTTCGTATCTTAAAATATTATCTGGCCTGGAAACTCCAACTTGTCTTACTCTTTATGACTTAGTGAAAACAAGTGCTTTGGAGGTCAAGCTTGATTAAAACCAAAACAAAACACAACCAAAAAATCAGTCCAGCCCTGAGTTTCATTTAGGGGGTAAAATTCTTTGAGCATGTAATTGAAACAGGAGGTAAAGCAGAACTTGCTGATACATCTTATATTGATTTTCATTTTTAAAATCCCTCACAAGTGGTGACTTGGGAACCTAAATTGTTACAGATAGAGAAGCAAAGTGCCATGTTACATAAGCTGGTTTAGAGACAGAAAACCAAGCACAGGAACAAATGGCAAATTTCTGTCATGATACAAAGCTGATAGTGGTGCTTTGAAAGTCTCCGGGTCTGATTTTGCTGTATTTATAACTGAATTGAAGAAAGGCCTAAATGGTAGCAAAATAGTCACATTAGATGGTGTTATTTAGGTAACAGTTTGTAAATGTTTTCTGTAAAGGACATGCTGTGGTCCAAAAGAAACTGCAATCTATTGATTGCAAAAAATCTGTAAGAAGGAAGCCCCTGATATTTTGAGACAGGGATTTAAGAGTCCCCAGATTCCTGTACCTCTTCCTATAGCTTTTGCACTTCTGCTGTTTCAGTATCAGAAAGCTTCCCCGGAGTATGCATAAGGCACTGTAGATGGTGAAGGGCGGGGAACCGAGAATGTCTGCTGACATCGGGGAGGGGGGCAGGCAGTCAGGGCCTTCAGTGCAGGACAAAAGGTTGGGATGTGTGCCCTGCTTGAGAACAGTGGCATCAGCTGCCCTCTCAGGGATGTGTACCCTGCTTGAGAACAGTGGCATCAGCTGCCCTCCCAGAGGGGAAGCTCCCTTGGAAAGAGCTCGAGGCTTCACCAGGACTGCATGTGCAGCTCTCAGAATTCTTCTGATGTGTTTTGCAGTTCTCTTCCTGCACTCTCTCTTTGTGGTGAGTGTTACAGAGACTAGCTCCTCAGTTTTCATATCGTACTGGAAGACAGGGTGAACCCAAACTTGTGAGGTCTGAAAGTTTCTTCAGCGAAAAAAGTGCTGCTTTATACATTTTGCTTCAGGAGACCTTTGTATGTCTCTGCTGAGAGGAATGTGAAACTTGTGAATTTTTGCTGCTACAAGGACTGATTTTGATTTATAGAACATGTTGGCTTTGTTTTACAAGAAAGGAATGGCACACAGCAAATGCAAAGTTCACATAAACAATGTATTATCAGTAGGTGTTAGGTAGAAACTGAAAGAGGATGACACAATTGTATGAGATATGGCTAAGATGGCAGATCGTTTTCTTTCCTTGTCACAGCTGATGCTGATCAGCAAATACATTTTGAGCACTGAAAGAAACTCAATATTCAGGTTGTGGCAAGGTATCATCAGTCTGTTTCATGGTGTCACAATATGCAAACACAGCTGCATCCTAATCTTTTCTGTGAACAACAAATGTTGCCAGACACCTACACCTTTGTTGTTTGCCCAGATGTGGTTACAGTTACATGTAGTAGCAACTTTCACACCAGTATCAACATCTGGAAGAATCTGGTTTGGGATTTCTGCTGGCAGCACTGGCCTGGACAAAAGCAGAATTTGTTCCCTTTCTCTCTGTTGCTGCATGTTGGGCACAGAGCCCAGCCCAAGGGCCTAAGTACAGCTGCCCTCACCTGCCCTCTCAGTAGCTGTGCACATGGGTTACAGAGATGAGACATTAACCTTTTCTGAATGGACAGCTTATTTCTTCATAAGAGAAATTAAGAATGCATTAGCCTGCCTTGCACTCATGAAAGGGACAGGATCCTCACACACTGCACAATCTGATCAGGAGATTACAAGTAAGATAAAGTCCTAAACATCCACAGAGATGTTAAATATCTCAGGAGAGATGAAGATCCCAGTGATGATCTGTTAATAGGATGTCAGGCCAGTCAATACTGTAAGAGTAAGAAGTGCAGCTCTACCTGATGGCAGCACATACAGTCACAGGGGAGTGAGCAGCTCCTGCCAGACTGCTCGTGTCTTGGCTGGCCTTTGCTAACCAGGACCTGAATGCAGCACAAGGTCAGGGTCCTCTTGCAGCCACGTGCTCACAGGCACCACGGCCTGTGTGTCCACCTGGTCTGGCCAGGGTCACTGCTGTGCCACACAGAGGGACACCACATACCGGCTCTTCATTGTATCTCTTGAGCTCTTCGTAATTAGTGATGATGAAGTAATTTTGGACCTGTCTTTTACAGCCTTTAGACGTGGATGTTACTTAGGATCTTTTGCCTCGTTTTTTTATCTCACTTCCCATTAGCCTGTGGCAAAATTCCTGAATTGCAGTTGCCAGGTTTTTCTTATCTAGTTATTTTATTGCCTCCAGTCCTATTTTTCATTGTCTTTATACCTTATCTTTAGATAGGTTTGTTCCTTCTTGCTATTTGGTCATTCATGTTGCTCTGTAGCAATTAACATATACTGTGCTTCAATCCTTGCTCACTAGTTTCTTCTGCCGCTTTTACACAGATGTACACACACACACACATTTCCATTCGTCCCAGTCTTTATATTTCTGTTGCAAATGTCCATACTACGAGGAGGATAGATTCTCTAGCTAGTTCAACAGGTGGAAGAGAGAAGAGCAGCCCACTGCAGCAACAGAAAGCCCTCCGCAGTCAGCCAAGGCACAGTGAAAAGACTTGAGAGAAAAGGAAGAGGCAGGGGGAGGAGGAAGCAAACTGCCTGTAATCCCCATGTAACAGCCCTTGCACAAAGCAAACTGGCACAGGAAATTGCTTCTTTCAGGAGGAGGCAGAGCAACGGAAAAAGGCTGGCAATATAATGTAGTCTCATAATATGTAATATTATATCATATATGTATTATATCTATGTAATATAATATCATATACACAATACATATACATCCACATAATAGAGTGTTATGTAAAATGTACATATATTTTTATATATACAATATACAGCAATAAACAGTGTTCAAACCTAGCCAGGAAGAACACTATCCATTAGAAAATCATTAAATTGAAAAATGCTTTAGCATCTCTTGTGCGACAAAGATTGTCTTGAGGCTTTTATGCCGATAAAAAGCAGTGTCTGTTCTTTTGGCAAGGAATGTGAAAATGCATTTGTTGATTTCTGTGTGTGTGATAAAAAGAAGAAAAGCTGTTTTGGGTGGTGTTCACATGTTCGATAATGATCTCACATGACTGTGTGAATGCAAACCTGCTGTTAAGACTGAATTTTTCTCTTTGACTTTGAAAAAAATCCTTTTAAACTAGTACACATTACACTTACATCCACTTGCAGTATCTTCTAGCAAGATGTGAAGTGCCCTTAGAAAACGTAGACTGTGAAAATGTTCTGGTTTGTAGTTAAGCTTCTAAACTTGCTGGTTTGGAGTTTTTCCCCTCCTCCCTTCTTTTATGGCTGTTTTTGGGGGGCCTTCCTATAAGGCAAGAAAGTGCAATGTTCTAATCTTTGGCCTGCATTTAGATTGCCCAGCATGGCATCCAGTTCCAGGAATGGACACAGTGGAACAGCTGTCACCTGGGAGCTAATTTATTTCTGTGTAGCATGCAAATTATCTTTTAAATAATTAGAGACTTCACCTAGCAATGAATTTCCTCACTGATTTGTATTTGGTATAAGGGCTGAAAGTTAACCCCGTGATACCGGATTTCCTGACCATAATGTGCCAGAGCCACTTCCAAATTAGTATTAACAACAGGCCGTCAAGATTCAGCTAACTTGAAGAAGTAACCCATTCCAGTTGTGCACGTGGCACAATAGCTAATGCTAATAATGAGATAAATCACATTTCCTTTTCTTGAGAGAAAAGTTCCATTGATTTCAGTATGAGTGGAACATGATTAAAAGCTGTGGGACTTGACCCACAACCAGAGGAAAGACTGAAATTACTTCTCTCAGTCCATCCTCCCTTGCCCCTACAGTAGAGGCACTTTGTGGAGAGGTGAAGTGGGGTGGTGGGCGTGCATTGCCCTGCCCCAGGGCAGCTCAGAGCACTCCATGGGTGCTGCTGGCCCAGCCTAGCCCATGCCAGA